AAATTAAAATAGATTTCTTTCGTTAGTCTAACTTATGCAAGCGTGATATGATAATAGTTACCAAAAACTGGATATCTAAAATTTCTGAGGGATTTTGTGATATTTAAGGTAAGCTCTTATGGCCTGAACGTGAAAGGCTCAGCAGGCCTACTCCGATGAGAAATCAAGATAATTCGTTCGAAACAAAAGTCAGTTCGAATCGAAAACGATATCGAATAATTCTATACACTCGTATGTGTTGCATATAATTTTTGTTTTCTTTTTTATATAGGATAAGGGTGACGAACGAGCACAGTCCACCATATGGTAAGTGGTTGCTGTGACCCACAGACATCTACATCTATGTTCGTTTGCGAATCAAAATGCAAATGCGTTGTCAGCCGTGAGGACTAAAATGGAATGCCTCGTTTCCAGTAAAAAGGGTCTCCGGTTCTCCACACTCACCATACAAAACACAGCAGCGTTAAGCTGCTATTTTACGCTGGAAATCTGAGAGAGCGTGGTCCTTCTCCGGTCGAGCCGACCGTGCTACAACTATACAATTAATATAGCTGCAGCATGGCTCTACCACGTTTATTTTATATGGAATAAATTATATCGAGCCATAGCTAATACGTAAATAATCTGAACACGACTTACGGTACCTAGAAATGAATTGAATGCATAAAAAACAATTAATAAATTCCATTTCGATTGATTCGTATTATTATAATATACTAGCTGGCCAGGCAGACGTTGTTCTGCCCTCTCCGACAACTCTGTGTCCTATAAAAATTCTTAAATTCTTAATAAAAAATATTGAGGGTCACTTAAAGGGATAAAAACTATCCTATCTCTCAAGTTGGACCAAACTAAACACAGTGTGCAAAATTTCATTGCAATCAGTTAAGTAGTTTAGGAGTTCATCGCGGACAAACAATGTGACACGTAATTTTTATATATAAAGATGTATTGCGTAGATATGACAGAAAAAGAGGTTTACGTAAAGTATTTAGTTACGTCTTTTTTAAGTTGCGATACAAAAGTCTCACGTAACATGGCTATTTCGTGACATCTAATTTAGAAATGACCATTCACTCTTTAATTTCCGTGACGATTGTAATAATGCAGCTCTCACCTGACAAGTCCGTCGTTATGTTAGGCTTATTTATTATAAAAAATAAGAACTATCTATTAAGTGTGCGAAGGCCGAAATAAATTAATGAACCTATACGTTGTTTGTATTGCTTTCGTTATTGACATAATATATAATATACAATAGATGTTAAGGATCCCGTTGTATGTCTCACCAGAAAAAAAAATCCACGAATATCCAAAATAGAACGTAGGTGAGTTTCTAAATGGCGCTGTGGTTATAGTTTGCCATTAATAAAGAAAAAAAGTGACAGTCTCCCGCTATTTTTTAAACAACACTAGAAATGACCCTCAGTATACTTAATGTCAAGAGGCCACTGCAGCACGTAGACGATTTAAGCAACACCAACATATACCTAAAGGTTACAAAATGCAGCCCACTCTAAACAAATACGAGGATGCATGTTCATTGTCAATTTTCATCCTTGAAGCCTAATATCCATCTTATCCATGTATCATAGTCTGTGATTATTTCGAATCCCTTAACTTGGAAACCAAACCATAACAATAGATGTCTTACTTGGTAGAGCCAAGCTGCAGCTATATTATGGTTGTAACACGAATGGGTCGGCTCGAAAGGTAAGGACCACGTTTTACAGTATACCAGCGTAAAATAGCAGCTTAATGCTGCTGTTTCGTATGGTGAGTGTAGAGAAACCGGACATCCTTTTTACTGAAAACTAAGTCCTCAGAGGTGACAACGCATCTGCATCTCGATTTTTAATCAAGGATAAATGTAGATGTCTATGGGCCACAACATCCACTTACGATAAGGTGGCCTGTGTGCTTGTTTGTACACTTATTCTATAAAAAAAACCGGCCAAGTGCGAGTCGGACTCGCGCACCGAGGGTTCCGAACAAATCCGTAAGTATATAAGTTTAAAATTATTAAAAATATTCTTATTACATGATGTGTTTAAATTATATCGAGCCATAGCTAATACGTAAATAATCTGAACACGACTTACGGTACCTAGAAATGAATTGAATGCATAAAAAACAATTAATAAATTCCATTTCGATTGATTCGTATTATTATAATATACTAGCTGGCCAGGCAGACGTTGTTTTGCCCTCTCCGACAACTCTGTGTCCTATAAAAATTCTTAAATTCTTAATAAAAAATATTGAGGGTCACTTAAAGGGATAAAAACTATCCTATCTCTCAAGTTGGACCAAACTAAACACAGTGTGCAAAATTTCATTGCAATCAGTTAAGTAGTTTAGGAGTTCATCGCGGACAAACAATGTGACACGTAATTTTTATATATAAAGATGTATTGCGTAGATATGACAGAAAAAGAGGTTTACGTAAAGTATTTAGTTACGTCTTTTTTAAGTTGCGATACAAAAGTCTCACGTAACATGGCTATTTCGTGACATCTAATTTAGAAATGACCATTCACTCTTTAATTTCCGTGACGATTGTAATAATGCAGCTCTCACCTGACAAGTCCGTCGTTATGTTAGGCTTATTTATTATAAAAAATAAGAACTATCTATTAAGTGTGCGAAGGCCGAAATAAATTAATGAACCTATACGTTGTTTGTATTGCTTTCGTTATTGACATAATATATAATATACAATAGATGTTAAGGATCCCGTTGTATGTCTCACCAGAAAAAAAAATCCACGAATATCCAAAATAGAACGTAGGTGAGTTTCTAAATGGCGCTGTGGTTATAGTTTGCCATTAATAAAGAAAAAAAGTGACAGTCTCCCGCTATTTTTTAAACAACACTAGAAATGACCCTCAGTATACTTAATGTCAAGAGGCCACTGCAGCACGTAGACGATTTAAGCAACACCAACATATACCTAAAGGTTACAAAATGCAGCCCACTCTAAACAAATACGAGGATGCATGTTCATTGTCAATTTTCATCCTTGAAGCCTAATATCCATCTTATCCATGTATCATAGTCTGTGATTATTTCGAATCCCTTAACTTGGAAACCAAACCATAACAATAGATGTCTTACTTGGTAGAGCCAAGCTGCAGCTATATTATGGTTGTAACACGAATGGGTCGGCTCGAAAGGTAAGGACCACGTTTTACAGTATACCAGCGTAAAATAGCAGCTTAATGCTGCTGTTTCGTATGGTGAGTGTAGAGAAACCGGACATCCTTTTTACTGAAAACTAAGTCCTCAGAGGTGACAACGCATCTGCATCTCGATTTTTAATCAAGGATAAATGTAGATGTCTATGGGCCACAACATCCACTTACGATAAGGTGGCCTGTGTGCTTGTTTGTACACTTATTCTATAAAAAAAACCGGCCAAGTGCGAGTCGGACTCGCGCACCGAGGGTTCCGAACAAATCCGTAAGTATATAAGTTTAAAATTATTAAAAATATTCTTATTACATGATGTGTTTAAAATTATTAAAAATATTCTTATTATATGATGTAACTTAAAATTTATGCTTTTCGCAATTTTTCCTTTATCTGTGCTATAATACGTTGCTTCGTACCAAATTTTAAGATTCTGAGTTCACGGGAAGTACCCTGTTGGTTTTGATTCCCTTGCGAATGTCGAAAATATGCGGCATAAACGGCTGTATCTTTTGATTGCGTTAGCTTAGAAGTTTGATATTTTCACAGCTCTGAGGGACAGTAGACTTTTTTTTTTATAGGATAAGGGTGACAAACGAGCACACAGTCCACCTGATGGTAAGTGGTTGCTGCGGCCCATAGACATCTACATCTATCCTCTATTACAAATCAAAATGTAAATGCGTTGTCACCCGTGAGGACTAAGATGGAATGCCTCATTTCCAGTAAAAAGGGCCTCCGGCCACCTGCACTAACCAAGCGCAACGCAGAGGTAAATCTCTACTTCACGCTGGTTTTCTGTGAGGTCGTGGTACCACCCCGATTCGAGCCGGCCCATCCGTGCGACAGCAAAAGCTGCCGCGTGGCTCTACCACTGTTAAACTTGAGTATTTGATATGAATTTCAGCTTGATACTTCCACACGTTCCAGAGGAAAAGGGTCTTGACAGACAGACAGACAGACGGACAACAAAATGTTCCTATAAGGGTTCCGTTTTTTCCTTTTGAGGTACGGAACCCTAAAAATATACTTAAGGAGACAAATAGGCAAGAATGAAATACTCATAAAAATGGACTAATGGATGCCCGATTATTATATAGCATTTATCTGGGTAGATACCCCTCTCTTATTTTTGCCGCCAAGTAGCGGTGCTTCTTGCACTGCTGTTTTCCGGTCTGTAGGGTACAGTTACCAAGTACATTACAATTACAGACTGGGAGGATCTATTCTATCATAGTCCTAAGAGGTGACAACACAACTGTAGCTTTCTTTGTTTGAAGTCGGCTCACGTGTCCACTGGTTGCAGTAGCAACTTAGCAGCAGGTGGGCTTACAGTCGTTTGTTTGTTGACTTACAACCTTACGCAGGTTCGTGATCTTTATCAATCTCTCGTGAAGTGCAAATTTATAAAGAAATTTAGGAAACCTGCATGACATCCTCTTCTTACGAGGTAGAGACACGCTGCAGCTACATTATGGTTGTGGCAGGAATAAGTCATCTTCACCGAGGAAGGACCAAGCTCTCGCAGAATACCAGCGTAAAATAGCAGCTTAATTCTGCCGTGTTTCGTATGATTAATGTAGGGAACCGGACACCCTTTTTACTGCCAACGAGGCATTCTATCGTAGTCCTGAGGAGGGATAACACATCTACATTTTTTTATTTGTGAACGATGTAGATATCTATGTACTCGTTAGTATCAGGTGGACTATGTGCTCGTTTGTGCTATTCTATAAAAAGAAAAAGGCAATTTTCATTAGATGCCACTCCATGATTTTTAACTTCATAAGACATATTACTAAAATTACCTGTCTTCCGGATTAAGGGTAAGCACGAGATTAACTGCGGCGGCGAACGCCCCTGCGTTTACCGCACTCAGCACGCATAGCTTGGCGCGTCGATATCGCGCCTGGAATCAAATTACGTTATAATATAATAAAATGCATATTGTACGATTAAAAATCAGTAGAATCATCAAGACTTAGTATCTAAATGTGCAAGACAATAGATATATTATGAAATATCGGTTATATAATCTGAAAAGACGGTTATGAAAGATCTTAGAAATAATACTCTTTATTTTTTATTTTTGTACAAGCCTACAGCCTAACGACGTAGAGTCACGCTGCAGCTCTATTATGGTTGCAGCGCGAAATGGGTCTTTCTCCGAAGAAGGACCAGGATCACAAAATATCAGATTAAAATATCAGCTTCATTCTGCTGTATTTCTGGGAGTGCTGAGTGTAGAGAACTTCGTTACCTATATAAAGGAGAACAAGATACTCTTATAACTCAATATACTCAAGAGACTAGGATAGAATGCATCTTTGAACATTCTATTTTATATTATGTAAAATACAATATGCACTTAATGCCATATTAACATTCGACGTAATATTTTGAAACATCCTCATTTTTAGTAATACCATTTACATGCATGAAATTACTCTAAGAAAAACAATTTATTGAGCAGAAAACGAACTACTCTGTCGTGATACAGACAGGAACATATTTATTAATTTATCTATTTAACAATTTACATACACAAAAATAATAATTTAAAATGTTCTACAACCGACTTCAATATAAGTTATTAGTTATAACTCAAAAACTATTGGTCACACCTTGATACAAGACCAAAGACTGACAGACCAAATTTATATGGGAACACATTAGAAGCACCAGCTTTCAAATAAAAAAAAGAATCATCGAAATCGATTCACCTAGAAAAAAGTTATGAGGTAACACACGTAATAAAAAAAGAACATACAGTGGAATTGAGAGCCTCCTTCTTTTTGAAGTCGGTAGAAAAAAAGTATCAGATTTAAAATAAGAGCTTGACAAAAAAATTCTCATCATAAGTTTCTACAAACAAAAGTGACAGCAACTATTACCTAACAGTCTATCTGATGGTAACTGGCTATTATAGTCATATTCTACCGAAACATAGCGTATTTTGTCGAATACCAAATACCGAATATCCAGCCACGCTCTTGGCAGAAAGATTTCATGGCTTTCGACAACGGTATAATAATCTCTATTCCCTCAAAACCGCAACGGTCAGCAGCTTAGAGGTGCAAAGTATCTGGTGTTGTAATCGTAAACGCCAGCTTCTCCCTACAACGGAAAAGGCACATTGCAGTGGAATTTTTGGGACTGATAAAATAAAACCGGCCAAGTGCGAGTCAGACTCGGGCATGAAGAGTTCCGTACCATCACACACGTTTCTAGTAGGGGAGCCCCTTTTAATTTTTAATTCATTTTTATTGTTGTTATAGCGGTGAAAATTTCAATTGTCTACCTATTACGGATCATGAGATACAGCCCGTTGACAGAGGACCGACAGCGAAGGCTTAGTAATAGGGTCCCGTTGGTACCGTAAAAAATATTGCATCAAATATTGTTATACTTTGAATATTTAGGGCCTGTTGTAGGCCTGTCGCTAGCACATGGGCCTCTCGTATAGGAAATTTGCTACGCTTGTGACGGCTTGTGCAATTGTTACGCTTGGCAGACGGATTGCACTATCGCAGTACCAGAACGTATTTCATGAGAATTCTCAATGAATCTATACAAATAAATAAACTTGAAGTCTCCGTTTGTAATATCATAATAACAGCTTTTTACTGAATGCATATTAAAGTATATATGGTACCTACTAATAAAAAAAAACAATTTTTAATTTTTTACTTGCTTTGACTGCTTCGTTGTGCTGCTGCCTTTGTATGTTTATCTACGATAACGTTCGGAAACTGAACCGTGCCGTTAGCCGTTATTTATATATTTATATTCATATTGATCCGCGGAAAATCCGTTATGTTTAATGCATATAATTCAAACTTCCTAAGTTTTATACCCACGCAATTTATTTCTAGTAGTTAATATTCGCACTGGCATAACGTGGCTTTGCCGACATTTAAATGTGCCCAATTTCTACTTAATATGACAATCAACATAATCTATACATATAAATAAAATTGAAGTGTTAGGGATTGAATTTTCTCCGAACGTAAACTATGGGCGGTTCATTGAGTCCAGAGCCAAAGCAGCCGCAAGGAAACTTGGTGTCCTTGGTGCGGCGGTACTTCACGCCGGGGCAGCTTCTTACCTTATATAAAGCGCAAGTCCGGTCGTGCATAGAGTACTGCTGTCACCTATGGGCTGGTGCTGCAAAATGCCACCTGGCAGCATTGGACTCAGTGGAGAGACGTGCTAAGAGGCTCATTGGTGACCTTGATTTGGTTGAAACCAATCTTGTCAGCCTCGAGCACAGGCACAGAGTAGCCAATCTCTCGGTATTCTATATGATGCATTTCGGTGAGTGTGCGCAGGAATTACACGCCTTAATTCCTCCCTCTCCTTTCCACCATCGGACAACCAGACGGTCGGCGGGTCTTCACCCCTTTGTTGTCGATATTCCACGCATTAGAACCAAACGGTTTGCTTCGTCTTTTGTAATGCGTACAGCAAAGGAGTGGAATAATTTGCCGGCGTCTATCTTTCCGTCCGAATACAATCTGGGCGTCTTCAAGGCAAGAGTGAATAGGCTTTTGTTACGATAAGACAGTGCGATTTACCTACCATCTAAGACTGCATCACCACTTACCACCAGGTGGGATTGTGGTCAAGCACTGGCTTATAATAAGTAAAAAAAAAGTGTCTGTCTGTAATATCGTAATAACTGCCTGAGCTGAGGGGGTTATTTGCATGATATTAAGACATGAACAAACATTTTTAAAATATTTGTCTGTCCATCCGTCTGCATGTACGGACTAACCTCAGAATGACTGAACCGATTGTAATGAAACTTTACGAACTGATAGGGAGCAATACCTTATTTTAAAAACTGTTTTTTCTTTAAAATAACGTCGAAAAATTGATAAAGCCACATTAATATATCATATCCATTTAACAGTGGTACAGCCACGCGACAGCTTCTGCTGTTGCACGGATATGCCCTGTTAATGGAGAATATCTCACTAAGCATCTATTCTGGGGTGGGAGGCGGGAGCTCACTACTAGACTCACACTAAGACTAAAACTGCACGGGGCAAACAGAGCGACAAAACCACGGCGACCGCAGCCACGCTAGCCATGGACTTCTGCAACATCAGGGAACTTAACTCGAACCTGAACAACGTTCACTACCATCTGAAGACAGCGAATTCGACCTTGCTCTTTTTGACCGAGACGCAAGTGTTCTCCGGCTGATACTTCGTACCTTTCCTGCCCGGGGTACAAATTAGAACACTTCTTTGTAACCCGGGCTGAAGTTTGCGTATACGTCAAAGAGGATATCTGTTCTCGACGCCTCGGCAGTCTTGAACATACGTGTCCATCCTTTGGTTGTGCGTAGACAGCGACGACCATCTCCGCGTCTACGGGTGCCTCTATACGTCCCATAGGGGTAATGGCGAGACAGACTGACTCATTGACCACGTCCAAATGGCTACAGATTTCTTGTTACAATAGATCCCATCCATAGAGATCGTGATACTTAGCGATTTTAACGCCCACCACGCGGAATGACTAGGTTCACGTTTAACCGATCATGCGGGGAGATCTGTTTATGCATTTGCCTTGGCATATGGTCTGACACAACTGGTTACTTCGCCTACGCGGATTCCTGATGTGGAGGATCATGCATGTTCCCTGTTGGACCTTCTGCTGACCTCTCATCCGGACGGATATCAGGTCTCCGTCAACGCCTCTCTCGGCTCTTGAACCTCGAGCCATTGTCTAATCCGGAGTATGGTGTCACTCACGCTCCGTTCATTGCCGCCGTGTCTGGCATTACAGGTCGGCGGATTGCAATTGCATTCAGTCTTTCTTAGCATCATCTATCCATGTTGTTCTACCATGGTTTGCTTCTCGTCGGATGACCACTGTTGCTGATACTATCACTGATGTGATGCTTCAGGAAATGGAACTATTTATTTCATCATTTGTGGTAGCCATCGCAGGCAGATCTCGGCCTTGGTTTGATCGCTCCTGTAAGACTGCATTACACAGTAAGCTCCTGCTTTGTAGCAGGCCTGGACAGACGCTTCGGCAGCCCGGGATGTAAACACCAGTACCTTTAAAAAGAAGTATAACTCCACAAAGTCGACCTGATGGTAAGTGGATGCTGTGGTCCATAGACATCTATATTTATCCTCAATTCAGAATCAAAACCCCTGAAGTCTAAGATGGAATGCTTTGTTTCCAGTAAAAAAAGTCTTCCGTTCTCTATACTCACCAGATGAAACACAGCACCATTAAGCCGCTATTTTACGTTGGTATTCTGTGAGATCCTACCCCGTTTGAGCCGAACCATTCGTGCTACTAGCATAATATAGCTTCACCACGTATAAGTATTGTAATATTTCAAGGCACTCCCCTCGTTGCCTTAGCTGGCATAGGAATCTCGGCATCGACATATCACATTTGATTTGAACGTCATTACGTTCTGCTATCAATTGAAAGGGAAGGCCAAATCGGCATCTAAAATACTTAAGTGTGCTTTGTAGAGCGTGTAAGCATTTCATGCCGACGCACCGTTTGCAATTTTATGTTTTTTTTTATAGGAGAGGGGGCAAACGAGCATGCGGCTCACCTGATGGTAAGTGACTACCGCCGCCCATGAACAACCGCAACACCAGGGGAATTGCAGATGCGTTGCCGGCCTTTTAAAAAGAGTAGGCTCTTTTCTTGAAGGTCCCTAAGTCGTATCGGTCCGGAAAAATCGCTGATGGCAATCGATTCCACAAGGAAGTCGTGCGAGGAAGAAAACATCTTCTAAATCGCACAGTGGTGGACCGCCAATCATTCAGATGGTGTGGATGGTATCGGGAGTTCTGCCGCGATGTGCGTTCGTGAAATTTGGCGGCTGGGATTAATCCGAACAATTCCTCAGAGCACTCCCCGTGGTAGATGCGAAAGAAAATTCAAAAGGATGCAACATTTCTTCGCAGTGCCAATGAATCGAGCCGATCGGAAAGGACTCGGTCGTCGACGATTCGAGCCGCTCTGCGCTGGATGCGGTCAAGTGGAAGGAGCTGGCACTGTTGAGCCCCTGCCCAGAGAAGGGAACAGTATTCAATGTGAGGCCGAACCTCCGCCTTGTAAAGTTGCAGGCGGTGTGCCGGCATGAAATACTGTCCCGCTCTGCGGAGCACGCCAAACTTTTTAGAGGCCAATTTGGCCTTCTCTTCCAAGTCACCACGAAACTGCACGTCACTCGATATGTCGCCTCTGAGGATTCCGATACTGTTTTCCCGAGAAATATTGGCACGGCCGGTGTTATAAAGCATCACCAGTGCTGTCATCCGCATAGCAATGAATATTACGAGTTAGCAATATATCATTGATATGCAGAAGAAACAGCGTTGGTGATAGCACACAGCCTTGTGGAACACCAGCGTTAATAGGCTTGTAGTCGGAGCATGCACCGTCTACAACGACCTTGATGCTCCGATCTGCAAGGAAGCTGGTGATCCAATTGCACAATTTCTCAGGAAGCCCAAACGAAGGGAGCTTCGAAAGAAGCGCTTTGTGCCAAACCCGATCGAAGGCCTTCGCAATGTCCAAACTAACGACCAACGCCTCCCCCTTGGACTCTACTGCCTGCGCCCGTATATGGGTCAGGTACACCAGAAGATCACCAGCTGATCGACCCCGACGATAACCGTATTGGCGGTCACTAATCAGCTGGTGATCCTCAAGGTACCGTATGAGCTGGCAGTTCATAATGGATTCCATTATTTTGGAGAACAAGGAGGTGATGGCGATAGGCCTATAGTTGGACGGGTCTGAGTGGTCGCCTTTTTTAGGGATCGGGTGGACAAAAGCTGTCTTCCATGAATTCGGGACTACGCCTTGGGAGTAGGAGTACCGGAAAAGACGCGTTAGGACCGGTGCCAACTCCGGAGCACACGTCCTCAGCACAATTGGGGGGATTCCGTCAGGACCACTCGACTTCTGGATGTCCAGGGAGAGGAGTGCTTTGCGAACCGAGCGCTGTGAGAACAGCACATCCGGCATGGAGCACTCACACCGCGGGATGGTCCGTGGTGTTTTCCCCCCGTCATCAAGAGTAGAGTTGGACGCAAAAAGGGAGCCTAAAAGGTCGGCTTTGTCTTTTGCGGCTTGGGCCATTGAGACGTCCTCCCTGCGCAGAGATGGTAGTGATGGCTTACAGAAATTCCCTTGGACAGCCTTGGCGAGAGACCAGAATGCACGGGTTCCCGAAGGAAGGCGAACTAGTTTCTCGCCAATTCTGCCTATATGCTCTGACTTTGCCTTCGCAATAACTCTTTTGAAGGACCTGGAGGCGAAGTTATACTTCTTTTTAAGTGTACTGGTGTTTACATCCCGAGTCGCCGAAGCCGCAGCCCAGGCTTGATAACACTCCTGCTTACTGCGTAATGCAGTCTTACAGGAGCGACCAAACCAAGGCTGAGATCTGCCTCCGATGGGTACCACAGATGATGGAATAAATAGTTCCATTCCCTGTAGCACCACATCAGTGACAGAGTCAGCAACAGCGCTGGGATCATCCGGCGAGAAGCAAAACCGCCCCCATGGGTAGGATGCAAAGAAAGACCGCATTCCGTCCCAATCCGCTGACCTGTAATGCCAAACACGGCGGCAACCTGCAGAACGCAACCGCGAGGGGAGCGTGAGTGGGACCACACTCCGGATCAGACAATGGTCCTAAGAGCCGAGAGGGGCATCGACGGAAACCTGATATCCGTCCGGATGAGAGGTCAGCAGCAGGTCCAACAGGGAAGGTGTATGATCCTCCACATCTGGAATCCACGTAGGCGAAGTAACCAGTTGAGTCAGACCATATGCCAAGGCAAAGTCATAAACAGATCTCCCCGCATGATCGGTTAAACGTGAACCGAGCCATTCGGTGTGGTGGGCGTTAAAATCGCCAAGGATCACGATCTCTGCGGATGGGACCTGTTGTAGCAAGGAATCTGTAGCCCTTTTGACGTGGTCGATGAGTCGGTCTGTTTCGGCATTACCGCTATGGGACCTATAGAGGCACCTGTAGACACGCGGATGGTTGTCGCTGTCTACGCGTAGCCAAAGGATGAACAGGTCCGAACCTTCATGACTGCCGAGGCGTCAAGAACAGATGTCCTCTCTGACATACACGCAAACTCCAAACTGAGGCACAAAAGAGTGCTCCAATTTGTACCCCGGGTAGGAGAGATACGAAGTATCAGCCGGAGAGCACACCTGCGTCTCGGTCAGAAAGAGCAAGGCCAGCTTCGCCATCTCGAGATGGTAGTGGACGGCGTTTAGGTTCGAGTGAAGTGCCCTGATGTTGCAGAAATTCACGGATAGCATGGCAGGGGTCGCATTGGTATTGTTGCTCAGTTTGTCCCGAGCAGTTATGTTTTGAGCAGAATTTTGCCCCCCCCCCCCCCCGAATACGCGGGGCAGCCTGAGCACCCACGCTCAGGAGTGGAATAACATGGTCGTGGATGCTCAGCGAGGGATTCTCCAGGGCTGCTGGTACCCTCCTGGGGTAGTCTTTCGTGTAATTCCACTACCATGTTGATGGGGGGGGGGGGGGATTGGGCCTCCGGCCACCTGCACTCACCAGACAAAACGCAGAAGCAGAGCTTCTACTTCACGCCATTATTCTGTGAGATTGTGGTACTGCCGCGTGGCTCCCACCGTTTGACCACATGTCACAGCAGAATTTTTGGGAATTAGAAATGTTTATATTAAATCCCTAAATTTAGTTTCATTTAATGAGTAATATTTGTTTAGATATAAGAAGTCATTAGGATTCTTGTCTCCTACCTTGCTTAATATATGCAAGCCAAATGTGGATATTTTCTAAATAAATAAAACAAAATTCTGTTCTCCCAAAATAGAGTGGAAAGAAGCATTCATGAGCTGAGAATGACATGACATGAATACAAGAAACTATGATATATGAAGTAAAACAAAACTAACTGGTGCATTTGATCACACTCTAAAACTCAAACTGAAGTGAGTAAGCCACATGTTTAGACACCAGGACAAAAGATGGACAACAAAATGGTCTAGGTCCTATCTGAAAAAGAAGCACAGGACAGCAAAGGAAATGAGGGACTGTTAGCAGGAACAATTAAGCCATAAATAAAAATTATTTATCAACATCAGATTTATTCATTTAAAAAATTAAATGTAGGTAAACTTTTTGTCATACATGTATTAAATACACTCATAAATATATACAATATCATGTATATACACATATGAATATGGAAGTTTTCTTTACAGGAGTTTTTGTTGTTTTTTTTTTATAGAATAAGGGTGGTAAATGAGCACACAGTCTATCTAATGAGTATGAATGCTGTGACCCATAGACATCAATATATATCCTCAATTTTGAAGCCCAATTCAGATGCTTTGTAACCCATGAGGACTAAGATGCAATGGCTCATTTCCATTAAAAAGGGTCTCCAGTTCTTTCCACTCATTATACATAATACAGCAGCATTGAGCTGCTATTTTATGCTGGTATTCTGTGAGAGCAAGGTCCTTCCCCGATCAAGTCAACCCATTCATGCTACGACCAGAAAATAGCTTTAGGGTGGCTCCACCATGTAAAAGGTTGTATTCTTAATATCGTTGGGAAGGGTATTACAATGATGTTTAGCCTGTACTGTAAAAGAAGACCTGAATTAGATCTGAGCTGTGGAATACTAAACCTGAGACAGTTTGAGTGGTGTCATGTTTGACAATCAATCAAATGAAGAAAATGAAAGTTATCCATAAGATAAGAAGGCAACTTTGAATGATTTCAAATTGAATGAAATTCTGAAGCTACTACCACTATCATCTTTAGGACTCTACAGGTACCTTTTTCGTAGGGTATCAGACATATTTGCGACCGGCAAAGAAGATGACTTCTATACAATCATAATACACATAAAGACTCCCTCAATGATGCTGCTACTGCAGAGGAGTACTAGTGCAGTCCTAAGGACGACAGAAGAAAGGAGACTATGCAGTCCTTGGGCGATTCATCGATTTACACGTTAAAACATATGAAGCGATGTGTCAATCAAGGGCATTATTTTTTCATAACATATTTTAAAAACTTTGTCTGGGATTAGTAACAATTTAAATTTTTTTAAATATTGTATACTGAACAAAATGGAACAAATTCTATCAATTAATTGTTTTAACTTCGTTACAATAATAAATTTAAATTAATATGACAGTAATGCGAAGATGAACAGAATATAAAAGTATTACCTTACTCATAGCTGGATCCATAACACAAGTTAAATATATAATTTATTTACAATCATAAAATTATTTAAAACATTGTAAATAATTTCAGACGACTTGTAGTGTAAATCACAAAGTATTAACAATGTACCCACAAGTAATTTCAATCACCGGATCTTTGCAAAATTATTTCGCTAAATGTCAGAATCAGAAATGTCACTGTCAAAGAATAAAAAAGTACTCTGTGGTCACCAAAGACATTATAAACTTATTAACTGGCTTTTCGGCTCTGGGTTCTAGCTCTTCTGAGCCTGAAGTTACAATGTATACAACACAAAAAGGTCAAAATATTACTACCAAATACTATTCAAATCGTAGCAAAGATCATGTACATTACATAAATTTTTATTTCATTTCAATACATGCAGTATTTCCGAAGTTATAACGACGAGAAATTTAAGCCCTTGTTTGAATTTCAGAGATTACGCGCGCTCACACTATGACGTCATACCCCCGCAGATCGCGACCGCGACACAAAAGCGGCGCTCCGTGCGATTCGGTTTGACCAAATTACGCGGGTCTCGTCTCATTTTCTTTCGATCATCTTTGTATTCCTATTACTTATAGTGTTTGTGCTTGTATTTTAAAAACAAAAAATGTATTTCAAATAATATTATTCTCTAAAACATAATTTCATGAAGAATCATAATTTTATGGCTGCTGTAATTCGTAGAATAAAGCTGAAAAAGTACATACCTATGTTCTAAGTAAGCATTAGGTACCTACTCTCCTCGGTAAGCATTAGGTTAAATTTGGTCAAATACCTATGTAGGTATTTATACAAACTTAAACCTAACTGAAAGTCTGTGTGTTTCATTTAATACTTACCTAATATGGGTGGCGATAAAAAATACTAGGTACCTACTCGTAATCCACATCTCGAGGTTGTCGATGATTATTTTATGTGTTTTATTAGTTTAAACTTACAGAAAATGTCAATATTTACCCATATACCATACAACAGATGTGGGTAAGTCCTACATAGGTATTTACGTAGGTATCAGTTTTCTAACTAGGCAAATAGGTAGCTATTGTTCTATTGTTATACTAAAACAGATAATTGTTTTTGATTAATTTTATCCAATGCTCGCTTTAGTTTATTCATTTACAGTTTTTTAAATTCAACCATTTTCAAAATCAGTGCTGATCAACTTGTGGGTCGCAAATTTTTACTTACCATTTTTATTGGTTATTTATCAATGCCCGACGCAAAAAGAGGGATGTTATAAAGTTGACCGCTATGTGTGTCTGTCTGTGTGTCTATATGTCTCTCTGTGTGTCGGTATGTCTGTCTGTAGTACTGTAGCTCATAAATTGAAAAACAGTTGCTCAACATGTCTGTTTTATCAAAATCGGTTAAGCCGTTCTAATAGTACATGAAAAACGTACGCTTCGTAGTTTTCTTTATTAGAAGTGTTCAGAAACAAATTCAAAACCTAATTAAAAACCGTGTTTAATGTGTGTACGTTGCTATCGTTAAAAAAATACAACGAAAACTAAGGATAAATGCGGGCCGCGAGTTTGATACTTCTGACATCAGGCCGTGATTTTGATTTTGTAGTAGGAAGAAAATATATATTTATGTATATTTTGTATATTTTGCCATATGTGTGTTTTGCGGCCCGCCAATACAGTCGGTTGAGGAGGACTGCACTGCGCTGCTACAAGGTGCTAGGTAGTTGGCAACTTTGGCAAGACACTTATCTATCTAAACAATCAAAGTAGACAAGTAGGTATGTTTAGTAGGGCAAGGATAGGTAGAAAAGAAGGATAAGTTTATTACTTAGAAAAATACTTACATCGAAATAGTCTTCACAGCAGTGCGCTTTAGTTTTAGGGCCCATTGGATCAACTCACTCTCGCATACACACACACAAACATACACACTCTTCCGTACTTAAACAAATTTCGAGCGCTTTGTTTACCTTTAAATATTTTTATATTTCATTCTCTATTTTTAAGTAAGGTGTTGAATACTTTGTGGCGTTTTATTAGCTTAATAAGTATATTGTAAATCCGTAATTGACTTCAAGACCTATTTTATAAGTTTTAAGTGTAATTGATTGTTACAAGCTGTGGATTTTGTGAATAAATTAAAAAAAACTCTTTTTACGGCTGTCATCCTTTTTTTCCTCATTTTTGGGTCCTCATGCACATAAAAAAGTGTTTATCAGGTGTTTTAACTGTTGAATTGAATCACTGAGGCACAATACAGTATTTTTTTCCAGAGAACTTTAAAATTCTGATTTTTACTGCGTAGCGGCGTGCCGACGAGACCGCGGTTGATATGAGCGGGGGTATGACGTCATCGGCTAGTGACCGCACGCCCGTGATTTTAAAAATCTTCGTTCGGAAACACGCACTTTGATCGTTAATATCTCAGCCAAATTTTAAGATATGAAAAAAGTAAAAACAAAACGAAAGATCTGAAAATTCATGCGGCGGGTCTTACCACAACTTTAATACTGCTCGTATTGAAGAAGCAATCGAGTGAAACAAGGGCTCCAAAGTCTTTGCCAGATATCTGTCTGCCAGAAAGAGGCCAAAGTTAATTATATTTATTTCTTTCAATTTTTCTCTGACAGTTTCTTTCGGTTTCGAGTTGTAAATAGCTATTATGGCCCACTTCTGTAAAACAAAAATAGTTTCTAAATCAGCCACATTTCCCCTTAGCAAAATCCCATATAACTTTATGCTATGGAAATAACTGAAATAAACCATAAACTTAAAATATACTGGCGTAGTATCCAGTGATAATAATCCTTTATACCTAGTACAATGCTTCACAGTATTATGTTAATGCGTTACATTGCGTAGTATTTGGGGAATATTGACAGCAATTTAAGCCAGCAGACAGTTGGCGATAATATCTCGGGGCGCCTAAGCAGACAGTCACTTTATCTTGAGATTCACATCACCATTGGAGCACTTGTTTCGCCGTTTCCACTAATAGTTTACATGCGCAGACATTTAATACACAAAATCGCACCACTTTTACCTATCAAAATCCACTTCGAACCATCATTTAAACATTTATACAGGAGCGAAAATCCGCCACCGGTCAAGTCCCCGCTAAAACTCCTAGTGTCAGTTTCATATTCATATTAACTTCCATAGATAAGCCAATATAAGTCAATTCTATCATAATATTATATATTTTAACTAGCGATCCGCCCTCGCTTGATTCTTGATTCTTGAAGCTTGATTTCTGGATATTGACAATAGCGCCACCTACCAGGTCTAATTGTGAATCTAAAACATCCAGGGACCCATTCAAAAGCACACAAAAAATTTCATTAAAATCGTTCGAACCGAAACCTGTAGGAGGTATAGATTAAAAGTTTATTTTTTTATTTTTAACACCTCCGCACTCTCCTTGTGTTTTTTGTTGTGTTTTCTTTTTGGCATGTTAAAAATTACCAAAATGCAAAATTCTGGCTAAGTTTTATACCTTTAAAAGTTATAGTTTGAAAATGGTTTTTTTTTATTACCGCCTCGCATCCCCCTGGCGGGTGGAATTTCGTAAAATCCGTTTTTAGCTGACCTCTACTCGGCGAAAAGAATAATCCTACCAAGTGTCCAGGCCTTATGGTTCCAGAGAAATCGTGATGAGTCAGTACATACCTATGTACTGACTCATCACGTATATCATAATATATATATATATATATATATATATATATATATATATATATATATATATATGTATATATATATATATATTTTTATATTGAAATTTGCCATAAATCCAGCATTTATGTGTGATAAAGATTTTCAGTATAATACTAGCTGTTCCCCGCGACTTCAGCTATCTGCCAGTGAAAGTCCCGTTAAAAACGATTCAGTCGTTTCGAAAGTTAGCCGGAACATAAGACAGACAGACAAAAATTAAAAAATTGATATTTTTTTCTTATTAGAACCGTATATACTTTTATATGCATTTAGTAAAAAGCAGTTATTTTAACATTACAAACACACACTTCAATTTTATTTATTTGTATAGAGTATAGATGTATAGATTTAAAATTACTCTGCGGTAGTAGTGAATTACTCTATGGAAAGATTTTAATTTTTATGTCTCAGTCAAAATATCTTTAGGTATTTTTTATGACTGTGATAGATATATTTATTAAATCAAACGACAAATAAATGCAAAAAAAATTATTTATATTTTTTTGCATTTATTTGTCGTTTGATTTAACCAAAGAGTATAGTAAATTTAACTTTGATCTTTGTATTGTGTAGGATTTGAAACCTGAACCTTCCTAGTATTAATTAGGTAAAACCAAGGTTTGCTGAAAAATTATATAGATACAAACAAAGAAATATCTTCTTTATCTCTTAACCTTAATATTATATAGAAATACCTTCTTTATCTCTTAACGTTAATATTATATTAATATAAAACATACTACTGATTAAAAGCCCACTTTGCTTTTAATCGTATTTCGTAAATCGTGCTCTTTAAAATAAATATGTATATGCTGGAGCTCTCAACCATAATATTTTCTATACTATACTGTATGGTTGGGGATTTTCCTATTATGACGAGTGTTCATCAAAAATGGTTCTATCTGTGAACTGTATTTTAATTTAGTATTGCCATCTGCAGGTCTTTCCCAATATTAAATGAATTAAGATTGCGCAAAACTTTTCCTTCTTAACACGACGAAGCTTTTGTTGGATTATTAATATTTTTTTGGAGAAATAAAACAGTTACCACCTGATAAATATTACATGCTACAATAAACTTGAACGTGTTACTGCTCACAAAGTAAATATGTATATGTAAACTTTGATTTGCTCACTGCAAACAATTTTCTTTGTTTACTTTAATTTTCAAGCCGATGATAATACATAATCATGCAATTTTTGTGTACCTACTACAGCAATTTTTTTTAATTCTGTGGTTTTAAGTTGCCCTTCCTTAGATCCAAGCTAAAGAAGGAAATTTCAATTAACCCTCAAAATAATCTCTCTTAATAGGAGACTAAAAAACTGTAAAGTAATCTGTTTGCAACAAAGACACAAGCATGTTATAGAAATATACATATTTGTACAGGTAACAATATTGTAATGGTAGTCTATATTTGTAACAAAATTATCTGTTTACCTACATCAATAAAGAAAATTGAATTACCCTCTATTGATAGCATTTGAATTATTCATTGCAGTGCATGAAAACTATCAAGCTAACAATTAAAGAAATAATTCTTATGTTTTATTTATCTCATAATGCGTGAAATTGAAAAAATGGAAGTCGATGGGGTAAGTTTAGTTCTTTTAAATTGCTGGTACGCAAATTTTTAACTCTTTTATCTTCTGGTTGTAATCTTTTATGCAATAATATACACATATATATGATCATATAAGAATGTGGAGTGGGTTATTCTCGGAGATTTTCTGTGTGATAGTACTTATTCTAATAAAGATGTATGCAGTTGAACCAGAGTAACCGACACAGCCCAAAGAATTAGTTAACTGAAATGGTGAACGATGGCTAAAAAAAGGTTAGAAAAAAGAAGAAAGGGTAGAGTGGCCTGCCACTAGATGTATCGTGGCGACCTATGTATAGCCGTGGACTTGTAAAGGGTTTTAAAGATGTATAATATATCTATTACCATATACAGACAGAATAAGGGTGACAAATGAACTCACAGCCTACCTGATAGTAAGTGGATGCTGTGCCCCAATCTATCCTCTATTAAGAATCAAAATGCAGATACGTTTTCATCCATAAGAACTATGACTGACTAAAAGTACAAATTTGTAATGGCTCGCGAATCGTGTAATATTCAAAATATATTAATTTACGTTCTCATATGAAAGTATACTTTATTATATATAATTATTTATATTTATTAAAAATATTTATTATTTAAGAACAACTAAGATTACATAAAAAAAAGATTTTTTTAATTAAATTATTTTTCTAAGTTAATTTAAAAGTTTTCATTCGAATTTCTTCCCGTTTTCGACACATCATGTGTGAATTATGAATACTTGTAAATGTGTTTCATAAAATTTCCTGTTGAATGCTAAATTTTCTATAGTTTTAATTCTTGAAAAAGCAACATATTATGTCAAAGCAACGGAATTATCTTAATCTCAAATATCAACAACAGCTTTTTCTAAGGTTAAAGCTTGTGATTTATGGATCGTAATTGCGAAAGCTAACTGTAATGGAAATTGTTTACATGAACAATTAATATTTTCACTTTTCCAAAATTTAGTTATACTTGAATTGGAACAATACCATTATTTTCATAAGTGGAATGAGAGTAATTTTCTAGTATAACTCGTGGCATTTGATCAGGTAGACCATGATTTTTAATGACTTCAAAAAAGAGGACGTAGTCATTTAGACTGTATTTTTATTTTATTTTTTGTGTGTTACCTCATAACCTTTTTCTACGTTAACTGAGTTTGATGATTCTTTTTTTATTTGAAAGCTGGTGCTTTTCTTGTGGTACCCTATAAATTTGATCAAGGTCTGACCAGTAGTTTTTGAGTTATCCTTAATAATTTATATTGAAGTACAAAATTTTTAATTTTACTACTTGTTTTTTAGATTATATCTTCAATGTAACTTATAGCTTCATTAACTAATCCTTTCTCTTTCCATAAATTAGAGCTTAACATAATTTTACATAATAAACAAATATAATCGATAATACTATGAATTGTTCAAGTCCACCTGATGAATCTGCATTAGCTAATTGTGCTTTAGAACAGTTATGGATATCTGGAATATAAGCAACAGCCTCACGTAATTTAAAAAATTTTTGATGACTAAATTCTTTCATGTCTTTATTAGTTGCAAATAAGCGAAGAGCATCGTTGAAAAAATTTATTTAATTTTGAGAAAAAGTTTGCAAACTTCTAGTCATTCGTTTTTCATAATCCTGAAGCGCACATTCACCACTACTTATATCATTATGTATGTGTATCTAGAAATGTTTGTTGAGGTTTATTTCGTCGAAAAAACGACGATAAAAATATTTTTCAACTCTTGAATTATATAGTAATTATCCTTCTAAAACTCACTTTCTTCAACTCTGTCACTATTAAGTGGGCGGGTTATTAACAGGTAGTAACTGTTTTATTTCTTCAAAAAAATATAAATAATCCACCAAAAGCTTCGTCTTGTTAACAAGGAAAAGTTTTGCCCAATCTTAAGTCATTTAATATTGGGAAAGACCTGCAGATGGCAATACTAAATTAAAATACAGTTCACAGATAGAATCATTTTTGATGAACACTCGTCATAATAGTGAAATCCCCAACCATACAGTATAGTACAGCAAATATTATGATTGAGAGCTCCAGTTAATACATATTTTAAAGAGCACGATTTACGAACCACTTTGCTATTAATCAGTAGTATGTTTTATGTTAATATAATATTAAGGTTAAGAGATAAAGAAGATATTTCATTGTTTGTATTTATATAATTTTTCAGCAAACCTTGGTTTTACCTAATTAATACTAGGAAGGTCCAGGTTTCAAATCCTACACAATACTAAGATCAAAGTTAAATTTACTATACTCTTTGGTTAAATCAAACGACAAATAAATGCAAAATAATATAAATAAATATATATCTATCACAGTCATAAAAATAGGTACCTAAAAATATTTTGACTGAGAGTTATAAAAACTAAAATCTTTCCATAGAGTAATTCACTACTACCACAGAGTAATTTTAAATCTATACATATATACTCTACACAAATAAATAAAATTGAAGTGTCTGTTTGTAATGTTAAAATAACTGCTTTTTACTAAATGCATATGAAAGTATATACGGTACTAATAAGAAAAAAAATCAATTTTTTAAATTTTTGTCTGCCTGTCCGTATGTTGCGGCTAACTTCCAAAACGACTGAACCATTTTTGACGGGACTTTCACAAGCAGATAGCTGATGTCATAAGGAGTAACTTAGGATTCTTATATTTTAGAAAAAGAATTAGGTTTCCGCGCGAAAAAACTAAAACCCATGAAATCATAATAAATTCCACGCAGGCGAAGTCGCGGGGAACAGCTAGTATTATACTGAAAATCTTTATCACACTTAAATGCTTGATTTATGGCAAATTTCTTATAGTCAATTTATAGTAATAGCAATGTTTCTAGAGGGATATAATTATTTCGTAACATTTTCAGGAAATAAGGAGACATAACAGTTTTACTAGCCCAAATATTCAAAGAGCACCCGTATCAAAGAGATTAGGTAGAGAGAGATGTCATAGTTATACCGCACCGCAAAAGTTGGCTCCCCCAAAGGCAAGTACTAAAACAGATTTCTTAATTTTCTCTTTCTTAATTTGAATGTTTTCAAAACACTGATTTTGACACAGTTTGACAACTATAATGATGCGTTCGTAAATAACAATTTCATTAAATAAATTAAATTATATATTAATGTAGTTTATTCATTGAATGAAATAATATACAATTAAAAATAAAGCAAGTACATCATCAAATAGTGAATTATTTAACTAAAGCCGTTAATGACTTGTTAACTTCAATTTTGCTGCGGCTAATGCAGTAGAAGTAGGCATTACCAAATATGGAGTTCGCTCGTTTTCCCAACCGTCCTCCCTTCGAACCTTTGTAGCTCTCAATTTTATTTTCTTAAAAATATCGTGTTAAATTCAAATGATTTCATTGAAATTTGTAGTGTAAATATTGTAATTTTTCATTTATCTAAAAGTGAGTTATTATAATTTTTATATAAAACGAATGTCAATATAGGTCAGAGTATCTTGTCTTATAGGTTATGTTTTAGGTGAAATAATTAAGACATTTGGTATTATTTATTGTGTTGTGGTTAAACGTTAGGGATTTTATTTTGCAGATGTCGTTTAGGGTGGTTCGTAGTTCTAAATTCCGCCACGTATATGGGCAGGCCCTGAAAAGGGAGCAGTGTTATGATAACATCAGAGTGTCCAAAAGTTCATGGGACTCTACATTTTGTGCCGTGAATCCGAAGTTTCTGGCCATCATTGTCGAATCCGCTGGCGGTGGAGCGTTCATCGTCCTACCACATAATAAGGTAAATTAAATATAATTTTTATTGTTATATTGACTATAAATATTTTTTGAATTTTTAATTATTGAAATAAACTAAGTAATAGTTTAAATCATTTAAGACTGTAAAATTAATACAAATACAGTAATATTTAAACATTACTGGTAGTTGTTGTATAATGTTGTTTATTAAATATATGCAACATAATATAGTTGTTATCATAACAAATAATTGTGGCTTAGAATTTAGTTTTGAAATTATTAATTAAGATAACATTACATAAACATTATAAATTATAATACGAATTCTTATGTAAACAACAGACAACAGCAATAAATAAAAATAATAATATGCTCTGAAACTACCTTTGTATGCTTCAAGGGTATAAAGCTATTGTAATATAAATTGAAAGTTATTTTGTTTTTAACTGGCAGTTTCATCAGTTCAAAATCTGGAAATTGACTCTTAAAATATATATTTTCATGCCTTTGTAGTATTCTGTATGAGTTTAATAGCATATAATTGCAAAAAAAAAATGATTTTTAATTTTTTGGAATGAGAAAATATGAAAGTGAATGGTGCTCCATCACCATTGTTATTATTGTTGATTACGGTTTGTGCAGTGTGTGACAGGAAACATGTGGATTTTTTTTAAAATTTGCTAATGCAGAAATTTATTTATTTATTTAAACTTGTGCAAAAAAAAAATTGTACATATGGCTTAAGACCTTCTCTACTAGTCAACCATTGGGCTAAGCAGAGATAAACCTACGGGAGGCAGAGCAGCAAAAATAAAGTAGATAAGAAATTATGCCTTGATTTAGACATCCGCATCCACTTCTGCATTGATTTAGACATATGCATCCACTTCTGTATTTGGAATAATGCATGCATAGCTTAGTAGAAGCAGATGTGGTATATAAGTTGCGACAAAAAACTGGGCGGGTGATACATGTTCCAAAACCGTGAGATATTGTAATTTCCCATGGTAACAATGTATACGCCACAGGGATGAAATGAGGTGATAAATTATCTTATGCCACCACCAGTGTAAATGGCAGTTGATGTTACCTATTAGTGAGGTAAAAATATTGTTGTGTAAAAACATAGTATAATTGAAACTGCTAGTTTTACTATTATTGAAGAATAATAACCAAACATATTCTTATCATAGCTTAGGGACTAAGCACTCACCATTCATTTTACAGTATGTGAGCAAAACTGATATGATCCTCGCCAGCACCTATGAAATTATTAATTGGTGATAACATTTTTTATATGTTTATACATGGTAGAGCCATGCTGCAGGTATATTAGTAGTATAGTTGTAGCACGAATGGGTTGGCTCGACCGGGGAATGACCACGCTCTTACAGAATACCAGCGTAAAATAGCAGTTTAACACTGCTGTGTTTTGTATGGTGAGTGTAGAGAACCGGAGACCCTTTTTACTGGAATAGAGGCATTACAATGCATCTGCATTTTGATTTGCAAACGAGGATAAATGTAGATGTCTATGTGCCACAGCAACCACTTACCATCAGGTGGACTGTGTGCTTGTTTGTCACCCTATCCTATAAAGAAAAAACATGCTCGGGAGTAAAGGAAAATTAATAAAATCAACATTACTTTACAGATATCCATTACTTTAAATATTTTAAAATAAGTTAGCTAAGATCTGCGTGTGTAATAAAAATGATGTGTCTTACCTAGTGTGAGAAGTAAAAGAAAAAGTCTAAGGAAACGTACATTAGTGTAAAGAAAAATATTTTAAGGATGTGTGAAGTCCACTGAAATCCACGGGAGCAAAGTGGCCTACTAATTGCTAGGCTGTGTGTCAACTGAGAATTAGATATTATGGTGTCATGCTAAATCTACGTTGAGCTGTATGGTAGCGGCATAAAAGAATCCATCATTTGATTTCATCCCATGGGTCATAAGAAGTGTCATAAAGATCTTATTGGCTTACGATAGATGGCAGTATAACTGTATTACATACTGGCTGTTCCCCGTGATGTCATCCGGGTGAAGTTTATTACGATTGGACTTCGTATGTTTTAATTTTTTTGTGCGGAATCCTAATGCTTTTTCTAAAATAAAAAGTAGCCTAAGTTATTCCTTATAACATCAGGTATCTGCTAGTGAAAGTAATGTCAAAATCTGTCCAGCCATTTCAGAGATTAACCGGAACAAACAGACAAACAGAAAAAAATTATTTCCCACTAGCTGTTCCCCGCAACTTCGCCCGCGTGTAATTTAGGGTTTTAATTTTGTTGCGCGGAACCCTAAATATTTTTTTTAAAGTATAAGTAGCCTAAGTTACTCCTTATAACATGAGCTATCTACCAGTGAAAGTCCCGTCAAAATTGGTCCAGCTGTTTTGGAGATTAGCCGGAACAAACAGACAGACAGACAGACAAACAAAATCGTTAAAAATTGTGTTTTTGTTATAAGTACCGTATAAACTTTCATATGCAATTAGTAAAAAGCTGTTATTTAGACATTACAAACAGACACTTCAATTTTATTTATTTGTATAACCAGCTGTTGTGTTGTGAACTTTTATTGACCAACAAAAAAGAAAACCATGTGCTAATATAGAGGCACTTGCCCTAAATAATGTGTATGTGTAGGAAATTCAAAGGGAGGCCTAGATACAGTGTCAGAAATGGGATTATCACCCCAAAGCAGCTTGCTAACTTATTGATGGACTAGTGCAATGGCTTTTTTTTGTAAAACGCCTCTCCAAAACACTTGAAAATCAAAATCTCAAAATCAATATCTAAATCGATTCACAGTTGACGAAGATATCGCTTAAATACATAGAGAACAAAGAACATACAGTCGAAATAAACCTCCGCCTTTTTAACAAGGTTTTATTATCTTCACGTGTATCTATCTATCTATGTAACGGGATCTTTTAATGTAATTTTCACCAAGTTGTGGACGGTCGGCCGATTGACTTGAGCACTCGTATCAAGGATATAAAGGCAGTACAATAATTTAAAAACTTTACCCTAGTATCCTGATCAGGATCACCGGGATAATTCTCTCTTGAATCATCGCAGCTCGTGATCAACGCGTGTTTTTAAAGTTTTCTTAAATTTTAATATCATTTTTAAGAAGACTAAAAGAAGCCTTGTTAAATGAGGATATAAGAGAAAGTACTACTGCTCTTCTTTCCTTTGCAGTTTACGAAATAGAAATACTAATAAAGTAGAAAGTATTTTTAATTTTTCCAGCTGAATCCTCACGTTTTTCTTTAACATTTCTGTTTAGGATCCGACCGTCAATACTATGACCGTAATTCGACATTTCGTCGACCCTATATCCTAATTCCAAAAGTTCACTACAATGGTATGTCGTATGTGATATCCAACAAGCCACGGATCATGGCGTAGTTTGATAATACAGTTCAAGTTCGATATTCGTCGTCTGGTAATTACTGTCCACTATTGAAAATAGGCCAATCCTAATCCTAAGTTAGGAACAGGTGTCTCGACTCCCGATCGCCATGCCACACTTCGCAATCACAGTATTCGATACTGTAACCTGAATTCAGCCTTTGGCATGCTGCTAAGATGTTTATTTGCCCGTTTTTCTGAAGCCATTTATTTCATTTACTACATTGATATTGACCACTCGTTGACGCAATGACGTTTGACTGTTTGGCTGCGGGCTGCAGGTTCGATTCACGCATAGAACGATTATGTATTTCGTATGTCTTAAAAATTAATTGTTTCTATCCTGGTTTTTATCTATACACTTAACATAAAATAAATATTTTGCAATTGAATTTATTTAATATACTTTATGAATTTATGTATATTACTTATGTAATAAGCCTCCACAATAAAGAAAAAATTCATAGTGTGAGAGGTTTATTTTAGAACTGAACTGACCTGATCCTGATCTCTTATAGTAAATCGATGGATGAGAATAGCTCAGCTGTTTGGTGGGAGAAAATTTGTAGTGGTGATAAAATTTTTGCCTTTTTAATGCAGGAGATAAGCAGTAGTAGCATATTCCTACTGCCCTTACCTTCCATAATATATATACCTAAGCGAAAGTTAGTTACTCATTTCGCAATGTAGACGCTCACTAAGAACGGATTTTACAAAAGTCCAATGAAATAAAATCTTGTTATTTTAGATGCAGGTTCCGCAATAAAATATTATCGTGCGCCCAGAAAAGCGAACAGGTATCAGTTAGTCATAATAATACAACTCAAAAAAAAAAAGACATGCAGTTGCCAACTCAACTGTTAGTGTCGCAACAGGCAAATATCTAAATGAATATCAAAAGACTTTTGATAGGCTGTAACGAAAAACAATGATGTTTTTATAGAGTTGTTGCCATCTCTTTGCGTATTTTATCACATATATTACGGGGAGTGCTCTGAGGAATTGTTCGGACTAATTTCAGCCGCCAAATTTCACCATCGCACATCGCGACAAAACTCGCGATACCATCCATACCATCTGGATGATTGGCGGTCCACCACTGTGCGATTTAGAAGAAGTTTTCCTCCTCGCATAACTTCCTTGTGGAATCATTTACCAACAGCGATTTTTCCGAACCGATACGACATAGAGACCTTCAAAAAAACGGCCTACTCCTTTTTAAAAGGCCGGCAACGCATCTGCAATTCCCCTAGTATTGCAGTTGTTTATGGGCGGCGATAGTTACTTACCATCAGGTGAGCCGCATGCTCGTTTGCCCCCTCTCCTATAAAAAAAAAGTAAGAGCGACAAACGAGCACGCAGACTACCTGATGGTGGATAACGTGGAGTGGCGGAGATTAAGAATCAAAATGCAGATGCGTTGTCACCCTTGAGGACTTAAATAGAATACCTCGTTTCCAGTTAGTAGGGTCTCAAGTTGTCTACACTCACCGTACCAAACACAGCACAGCATTAAGCTGGTATTCTCTTGAGAGTGTGATCCTTTCTCGGTCGAACCAACCCATTCGTGCTACAATCAAAATATAGCTGCAGCATGGCTCTACCGCGTATAAAAATACTT